TGTTCCATTGATCTATGTGTCTGTTTTTGTGCCAGTACCATACTGTCTTGATGATGACAGCTTTGTAATAGAGCTTGAAGTCCGGAATTGTGATACCACCAGCTTTGCTTTTCTTTTTCAACATTCCTCTGGCTATGCGGGGTCTTTTCTGGTTCCATACAAATTTTAGGATTATTTGTGCCATTTCTTTGAAAAAAAGTTGATGGTATTTTGATAGGGATTGCATTAAATCAAACTCTGATTTCTGAAGGCAAATATTTGAAAACCTCTGATCTAAAAGAGGAGACTGAGGCCTAGGGAGCTGAATATCTAGCCTGACGTCACATTGCTAAATGGGTATCAGAGCAAAGAAGACAGCTCACTCCTGCATCAGCCTCTCCAACTGGGAAAGTAATGTTATCAAACAATACTTAACATTTATCACTTCAGAAGGGTTATTAGGAAACAAAATAAAATTACTAATTTTAATACACACTTAAATAAAATTTAATAAATTGGTATAAAATATTCCTGGCATCAAAAGTAAATTAACAAATTAAAGAACTGAAGCCCATAAAAACAGAGAAATCTAAACACATTCATTGTGAATTTCCGTCCTAGATATTTTCTATTCTTTATAACCTGTTACTCTGAATGTCATCTCCAGACAAGTAGCATTAGCATCCTCTGGGAGCCCATCAGAAATGCAGAATCCCAGGCCCCACCCACCCCATACTTAATGAATCAGATCTATATTTGAACAAGATCCCCAGGTCTTGCAAATTCAAGTGTGGGAACAGGTGCATAAAGTACTGCACACTGAGTTGAATGGTTTCAATAAATGAAGTAGTGTTTATAATACACTAGTCCTATTAAAAAGAGCATTTCATGTGTATAGTAAGTCCTGTGGTCAAAATGGCACTAAAATACATTAGTCTATCATATACTAACTGGTGCTAGATTCCCTAAATAAAATAATTTACTGATATTCAGTGCCCTAACTCATAGATTTATTAAGAGCTTATTTATCTTAGGTATTTTGAAAGTCTGGATACATTTATGGATACCATAGTTTTTTAACAATTTTCAAAAATATCTGCAAAGTTGCATTTAACTAGTTTTTATTTTGTCTAATAGTATAATTTTAATAGTCTTAATAAATATTTCACTTGAAGAATGTTTCACTAAAAGATTATAGGATGTGTAATCTTAAAGATCACAGGACATGTAGTCATATTCAGAAAATTATATTTTATCATTTTCTCAAATTTCAGCATTGCAGTAGGAACTTTTCTGTTTATACTAATTTCTTCGAAACCTTGTTAAGTGATATTTTTATTTTTAAGTTTTTAACATTTTTAAGATTTCAACAATTTGTTATTACTAATAATTTGGAGTCAAAATTGAGTATGTGACACAGCTAACTTCAATCCCATTTTATGGTTAAGGCATGTCCGTCTGAAGTAGTCATATGGCCCGTTTCGTAATCCCTTCTGAGAATGTCCACCTCCTTTCCTGCACTCTGAAGAGCTCTTCCCTAGCATATTAAAGTTTTTTGCAAATTACTGAGTCATTCACTTATCTCAACTGCTTTCTGTTAGAAACAAAAATGAAATCAGTGTTTCATAAAATGTCTGCATCACATAAAGTTTACGGCAAAATGACTCTGTGGGATGGGTTTCACAGCCATCATGGATGGTTTATTTTCTTCTTTCAGTTTAGGTTAAATTCCAGTTTTATCCCAGCCATTTAGCTTTGGCTGCTGTGCAATGAAGTTGTTAGGTATATATATGAATTTTATGTCACATTTTCATGTTTCACATAGACCAACTGAAGAAGACAAAATCGATTATTTATAAAATCTTCCCATATGAAGAGAAGTATTACACTTGCATTTGATATACACAGAATTTTGCATTCCCCCAAGATAAAAACCCCAAATCAAAAAAAATCTAAAATGCACTGAATTTTGGCCAACCACTCTAAAATGACTAAGGTGTAGGAGTGTTTACTTTTACTACAGCAAACAGTAAACTGGAT